TCACCCACCTCCCCACCCACCCACCTCACTCACCCACCTACCCACCCAACCACTCACCCAACCACTCACCCACCCACTCACTCACCCACTCACTCACCCACTCACCCACCCTCTCACCCACCCACCTCACCCACCCACCTCACCCACCCACCTCACCCACCCACCTCACTCACCCACTCACCCTACCCACTCACCCTACCCACTCACCTTACCCACTCACCTTACCCACTCACCTTACCCACTCACCTTACCCACTCACCTTACCCACTCACCCACCCGCCCGCTCACCCGCCCGCTCGCCCACCCGCTCACCCACTCGCCCACCCACCTCACCCACCCACCTCACCCACCCACCTCACCCACCTCACCCACCCACTCACCTAATCCACTCACCCACTCACCCACCCACTCGCCCACCCACCCACCCACTCACCTCACCAACCCACTCACCTCACTCACCCACTCACCTCACCCACCCACCCACCTCACCCACCCACTCACCTCACACACCCAGCCACCCACCTCACTCACCTCACCCACCCACTCACCTCACCCACTCACCCACCCACTCACCTCACCCACTCACCTCACCCACTCACCCACCCACCTCACTCACCCACCCACCTCAACCACCCACCCACCCCCTCACCTCACCCACTCACCTCACCCACTCACCCACCCACCTCACCCACCCACCTCACTCACCCACTCACCCTACCCACTCACACTACCCACTCACCTCACCCACTCACCCACCCGCTCACCCACTCGCCCACCCGCTCGCCCACCCGCTCACCCACTCGCCCACCCACTCGCCCACCCACTCGCCCACCCACCTCACCCACCCACCCACTCACCTCACCCACCCACTCACCTCACCCACCCACTCACCTCACTCACCCACTCACCTCACCCACCCACTCACCTCACCCACCTCACTCACTCACCTCACCCACTCACCCACTCACCTCACTCACCCACCCACCTCAACCACCCACCCACCCACTCACCTCACCCACTCACCCACCCACCCACCCACTCATCCACTCACCCACCCACCCACCCACTCACCCACACACTCACCCACCCACTCACCCACCCACTCCCCCACCCAATCACCCACCCACCCACTCACCCATCCACCCACTCACCCACCCACCCACCCACTCACCCACTCACTCACCCACCCACTCACCCACCGACTCACCCACCCACTCACCCACTCACCCACCCACCCACCCTCTCACCCACCTACCCACTCACCCACCCACCTCACCCACCCACCCACTCACCTCACCCACCCACTCACCTCACCCACCCAATTACCTCACCCACCCACTCACCTCACCCACCCACTCACCTCACCCACCCACCTCACCCACCCACTCACCTCACCCACCCACTCACCTCACCCACTCACCCATCCACCTCACCCACTCACCTCACCCACTCACCCCACCCACTCACCCCACCCACTCACCCACCCACTCATCCACTCATCCACCCACTCATCCACTCACCCACCCACTCATCCACCCACCCACTCATCCACCCACCCACCTCACCCACCCACCTCACTCACCCACTCACCTCACCCACTCACCTCACCCACTCACCTCACCCACTCACCTCACCCACTCACCTCACCCACTCACCTCACCCACCCACTCACCCACTCACCTCACCCACCCACTCACCTCACCTCACCCACCCACCCACTCACCTCACCCACCCACCTACTCACCTCACTCACCCACTCACCTCACTCACCCACTCACCTCACTCACCCACCCCACCCACTCAACCACCCACTCACCTCACCCACTCACCCACCCACCTCACTCACCCACTCACTTCACCTCACCCACCCACTCACCTCACCCACTCATCCAACCACTCGCTCATCCACCCACTCGCCCACCCACCCACTCACCCACCCACTCACCCACCCACCCACTCACCCACCCACCCACTCACCCACCCACTCACCCACCCACCCACTCACCCACCCACCCACTCACCCACCCACTCACCCACCCACCCACTCACCCACCCACTCACCCACCCACCCACTCACCCACCCACCCACTCACCCACCCACTCACCCACCCACCCACTCACCCACCCACTCACCCACCCACCCACTCACCCACCCACTCACCCACCCACCCACTCGCCCACCCACCCACCTAACCCACCCACCCACTCACCTCACCCGCCCACTCGCCTCACCCACCCACTCACCTAATCCACTCACCCACTCACCTCACCTCACCCACCCACCCACCCACCCACCCACCCACTCACCCACCCACCCACTCACCCACTCACCCACCCCCACTCACTCACCCACCCACCAACTCACTCACCCACTCACCCACCTACCCACTCACCCACCCACTCACCCACCCACCCACTCACCCACTCATCCACCCACCCACCCACTCATCCACCCCACTCACCCACTCACTCACCCACCCACCCACTCACTCACCCACCCACTCACCCACCGACCCACCCACTCATTCACCCACCCACCCACTCACCCACTCACTCACCCACCCACCTCTCACCTCACTCACCCACCCACCCACCTCTCACCTCACTCACCCACCCACCCACTCACTCACCCACCCACCCACCCACTCACCCACCCACTCACCTCACCCACTCATCCACCCACTCGCCCACCCACCCACTCACCCACCCACCCACTCACCCACCCACTCACCCACTCACCCACTCACCCACCCACTCACTCACCCACCCACTCACCCACCCACTCACCCACCCACTCACCCACCCACCCACTCACCCACCCACTCACCCACCGACCCACCCACTCATTCACCCACCCACCCACTCACCCACTCACCCACCCACCCACCTCTCACCTCACTCACCCACCCACCCACCTCTCACCTCACTCACCCACCCACCCACCTCTCACCTCACTCACCCACCCACCCACCTCTCACCTCACTCACCCACCCACCCACCCACTCACCCACCCACTCACCCACCCACTCACCCACCCACTCACCCACCCACCCACCCACTCACCCACCCACCCACTCACCCACTCACCCACTCACGCACCCACCCACCCACCCACTCACCCACTCACCCACTCACCTCACCCACTCACCCACCCACCCACCCACCCACACACCCACCCACCCACCCACTCACCCACTCACCCACCAACACACCCACTCACCCACCAACACACCCACTCACCCACCAACACACCCACCCACCCACCCACTCACCCACTCACCCACTCACCCACCCACCCACTCACCCACCCACCCACTCACCCACTCACCCACACACCCACACACCCACCCACTCACCCACTCACCCACTCACTCACCCACCCACCCACTCACCCACTCGCCCACCCACTCGCCCACCCACTCGCCTCACCTCACCCACCCACTCGCCTCACCTCACCCACCCACTCACCTCACTCACCCACTCACCTCACTCACCTCACTCACCCACTCACCTCACCCACCCCACGCACTCACCCACCCCACCCACTCAACCACCTCACCTCACCCACTCACCCACCCACCTCACTCACTCACCTCACCCACTCACCTCACCCACCTCACTCACCCACTCACCTCACCCACCCCACGCACTCACCCACCCCACCCACTCAACCACCTCACCTCACCCACTCACCCACCCACCTCACTCACTCACCTCACCCACTCACCCACCCACCTCACTCACCCACCTCGCTCACCCACCCACCCCCTCACCTCACCCACTCACCTCACCCACTCACCCACCCACCCACCTCACCTCACCGACCTCACCTCACCCACCCACTCACCTCACCCACTCGCCCACCCACCCGCTCACCCACCCACTCACCCACCCACCCACTCACCCACCCACTCACCCACCCACTCACCCACCCACCCACCCACCCACACACCCACCCACTCACTCACTCACTCACCCACCTCACTCACTCACCTCACTCACCCACTCACCTCACCCACTCACCCACCCACTCACCCACCCACTCATCCACCCACCCACTCACCCACCCACCCACTCACCCACCCACCCACTCACCCACCCACCCACTCACCCACTCCCCCACCCACCCACTCACCCACTCACCCACCCACCCACTCACCTATCCACCCACCCACTCACCCACCCACTCACCCACCCACTCATTCACCCACCCACCCACTCACCCACCCACCCACCCATTCACCCACCCACCCACTCATCCACCCACCCACCTCTCACCTCACTCACCCACCCACCCACTCACCTACCCACTCACCCACCCACTCACCCACTCACCCACCCACCCACCCATTCACCCACCCACCCACTCATCCACCCACCCACCTCTCACCTCACTCACCCACCCACCCACTCACCTACCCACTCACCCACCCACTCACCCACTCACCCACCCACTCACCCACTCACCCACCCACCCACCCACCCACTCACTCACCCACACACCCACTCACCCACCCACCCACTCACCCACTCATCCACCCACTCACTCACCCACCCACTCACCCACCCACTCACTCACTCACCCACTCACTCACTCACTCACCCACTCACTCACTCACCCACCCACTCACTCACCCACCCACCCACCCACTCACCCATCCACTCACCCACCCACCCACTCATCCACCCACCCAGTCACCCACCCACCCACCCACCTGGGCACCATCTCAGCGAGCCTCCGGTACTCCTCCGTGTTCTTGCCGTACCGGATCTGCTTCTTTCTCCGTGCCAGCACCCCTGGGTCATCCTCCACCTCCACCGCCCCTCCCCCCCACCGGCCCCTCCCCCCCCCTCCCCCCTTCCGAGAGCAGCCCCCCACCACGGGCCCCCCGGTGTCATCGTCGTCCTCACCACCACCCTCACCACCACCACCACCGTCGCCACCACCACCCTCACCACCACCACCAACTTCTTCTCGACTTGAGGGCAGTTGTGGGGTCTCAGAGACTCTGGGGGTCCTCCCCAAACCCCTCTCCAACGACGGCGGTGCTGGCGGTGGTCTGGGTAGCGGCGACGATGATGAAGGTGATGGTGATGATGGTGGTCTGGGTAGCGGCGACGATGATGATGGTGATGATGCTGGTGGTGGTCTGGGTAGCGGTGACGATGATGAAGGTGATGGTGATGGTGATGATGGTGGCGGTGGTCTGGGTAGCGGTGACGATGATGAAGGTGAAGGTGATGGTGATGATGGTGGCGGTGGTCTGGGTAGCGGCGACGATGATGAAGGTGATGGTGATGATGTTGCCGGTGGTCTGGGTAGCGGGGACGATGATGAAGGTGATGGTGATGCTGCCGGTGCTGGTCTGGGTAGCGGTGACGATGATGAAGGTGATGGTGATGGTGATGCTGCCGGTGGTGGTCTGGGTAGCGGTGACGATGATGACGGTGATGGTGATGGTGATGATGCTGGCGGTGGTCTGGGTAGCGGTGACGATGATGAAGGTGAAGGTGATGATGTTGATGTTGCCGGTGGTCTGGGTAGCGGTGACGATGATGAAGGTGATGGTGATGATGCTGGCGGTGGTCTGGGTAGCGGTGACGATGATGAAGGTGAAGGTGATGATGACGATGGCGGTGGCGATGGGCTTGGCGGCGATGGCGGCGACGTGCGAGCTGCCGGGTGGATTTCGGCCGCGTTGTTTGAACCCTCGTCTGGGTAACTGTGGGGGGGGGGGAGAGGGAGGGAGGGAGAGAGGGAGGGGGGGGATAAGGGGGGGGGGATAAGGGGGGGGGGGGGAGGAGAGGGGGGGGGGGAGAGAGGGGGTGAGAGAGAGATCTTATTGATACTTCTGATCATATTGCTACTACTGCTGCTGATGATACTGCTGCTACTAATGCTGATGATGTTGTTGTGATATTTACCTCTCCTCCTCCTCCTCCTCCATCGCCACCAACACCACCACCCCATCATCGCCATCCTCCTCAGTCTGCACCCCACAATCCCACATCGTCACCCCAGCACCATCGCCGCCGGCCCCAACACCGTCACCGTCGCCATCGCCACCATCACCGAAGTGGAGTTGCAATGGCCCAGGCAGGCAGCTGCACGGGGGATACAAAGGTGGCCGGGTAGAGAGATGGAAGACGTTCACGCGTGACTGATAAACACTCCACCACCATCATCGCCATCGTCGACGGCGTCACCATCAGCATCTCCGGCGTCACCATCAGCATCTCCACCGCCACCATCTCCATCTCCACCACCACCGCCTCCACCACCTCCACCTCCTCCTCCTTCTCCTCCTCCACCACCGCCACCACCGCCACCACCTCCACCGCCTCCTCCTCCACCACCACCGCCGCCACCACCACCACCTCCACCATCGCCACCACCGCCACCACCACCGCCTCCACCACCTCCACCTCCTCCTCCTTCTCCTCCTCCACCACCGCCACCACCGCCACCACCTCCACCGCCTCCTCCTCCACCACCACCGCCGCCACCACCACCACCTCCACCATCGCCACCACCGCCACCACCACCGCCTCCACCACCTCCACCTCCTCCTCCTTCTCCTCCTCCACCACCGCCACCACCGCCACCACCTCCACCGCCTCCTCCTCCACCACCACCGCCTCCTCCTCCACCACCACCACCACCACCACCGCCTCCTCCTCCACCACCACCACCACCACCTCCTCCTCCTTCTCCTCCTCCACCACCTCCACCACCTCCTCCTCCACCACCACCGCCTCCTCCTCCTCCACCACCGCCTCCACCACCATCTCCACCACCACCACCGCCGCCACCACCACCACCGCCGGACGTGGTGCTGGTCACCCACCCCCTTGCGTGCCCCTGCTGCTGCCCCTGCTGCTGCTGCTGCCAGGCGCTGGCGGTGCCCAGCAGCAGTGGCAGCTGCGCGAGGGAGTGGGAGAGGCGCAGCAGCGGAGACGGCGCTGGCGATGAACTCCTCCTGCTGCTGTGCTCTCTAGGGGAGGGGGGGGGGTCACGTGGGGCGGGGGTCACGTGGGGGCGGGGGTCACGTGGGGGCGGGGGTCACGGGGGTCACGGGGAAGATGGGGGAAGGGGTACACGGGGCATGGGGGACACGGGGGAAGGTTGACACGGGGGATGGTGGGGGTCATGGGGAAGGGGGTCACGGGGAAGGGGGACACGGGGGATGGGAGGGGGACAGGGGATGGGGGGGACACGGATTGAGCGGTGATATTCGGACAGGTGGCGTCTGGAAATTCCACGTTCCTATGACGGGATATACATAAAACCACACAACTTATCTGCGTTCCGAGAAGGAATTTCGACGTTTCGATAACGGGATCTACACAGCGCTCGTACATTACAAAATATCGTACATTTAAACAATTAAACGTACGTCCAAACGTGGCTTTTTCAAGGTAAGAACATCAGTCAAACGACCGTGGTGTAGTAGTAGTAGTGGTAATAATAATAACAACCTTAAACTCCAACCGGTTCGGCTTTCGCTAGCGAACGACACGATGCAACGGTCCATTGACACCAACCAACTCCACCCACCATCACGTAGGCAGCAAATAACGAAAAAAAAATATTCTTAAAACAACAACAACAAAAAAATGACAACTTCCGTGAGGTAAACTCCCGTCCGTTCGTCGCGTTTCCGCGGATGCTTAATTCAGGTGGCTGTGATAACAACCGAGGAATTTTTTTTTTTGTAAACTTCGCTGCGTTGCGAACTCACTCAAATCGAACTCCCTTCGACAAACATCGCCCGCGTTTTATGTTATGATGGTGGGGGGGAGGAGGAAGTGGGTTGTGCCAAGTTACATTATGTGGAGAGAGAGAGGGGGTGGTGGTAGTTAGTGGTTGTTTAAATTTCGCTACGTTCAGATGACTTACGACAACAAATACATTTTCAGGCGACGGAATAATTTCGCTCAAACTTACATTTCGTTCGAGCGTGCGTTGCGTAATGGAAATAATTGCGTTGAAATTTTTTTTTAAAAAAAAATGTTTTAGTTTGTTGCCAAGACAACTTCCCCCCTCCCCCCTCATCTAGACGAATTTGGTTTGGTCCAAATTTTGCATGCGGCGGGGGGGGGGGCATCAAATTGTAACGGCGTCTCCCATTGGTCGAGATGAGACGGAAGTGGTTGGGGTTGGCGATGAAACGCGCTCGGTGATTGGTCGTCCGGGAGTTGTTTACATCCCCCGCGTCGTGCGCGAGGCTTTAAACGTTGGGATCGTAACGCGCACTCTGATTGGGCAAGGTTGTTGATGTTAAACGCTCTGTGATTGGTCGATGTCCCTTACTTTCCCCTCCCCACCATCGCCGCCACCACCAACCGCGTCCAAACATAACGCGCACTTCCATTGGTCGATTCAGACACCGTCGATGATACGCGCCTTGTGATTGGCTTAACGCGGGGTGAAAGCCGCGCCTAGTTTCAAACTGTCCGCCCCCAATCATCACCCTCCCCCCCCCGCCCCTCCACCCCCGCTTCTCCCACCCCGCCCCACCGGTTTCAAAAGACGCCACCCGAGCCGCTCCGCCCTCCCATTGGCTGAGCGGCGCGCCCGCGCTCGCGCGACAACGGGGCTCCGATTGGCCCGCGGCGGGCCTCTCGAGCGCCGATTGGTCGAGGCGGATTTTCCCGCCCTTTTCTCCCCCCCCCCCATCCCCGCCCCCTCCTTTCCGTTTAGGTGGTGGACGATAAGGGGGGGAGGGGGATCCATCTTCGCCTCACACCACCGACGTAAGTTACGGTTATTTATAGCATTTTTTTTCCAATAAAAGTATTAAATTTCCGCGTAATTGTTACAAACATATCTACGTTTACCTTGGGTTTTACGTTTGGCGATCGGCGAAATCCAATCCACGAATTCTAAGAGATGTTTTGTTGATTAATGTGTTCGCAATGGCGCCGATAAGGGTTTTTTTTATATAACAAACATTTTCCAACATAAACTTTAAATTAGCGCGTAATTGATGCAACACTATCAACATTTACCTCAGGTTTTAAGTTTGGCGATCGGCGAAATCCAATTCCCCGAATTAATAAGAGACGCGTCTTGTTGCTTAATGAGGGGTTTGCAATGGCGCCGATAACAACCCCCATCGCGTTCGCGCTCTTATTGACGCCCCCGTTCTCGATTTGTGTCAAAATTGTCGCCTTTTTAAAGTTTAAAAATTTTTTACGGACGCTTGAACATTTCGTCTCGTGAAAAAATTGCGAACTGATTTCTGGTTTGACACCACGAGGTCCACTCAAGCCTTACACGAGTACAGTGCGGTACAGTAGCGGCGGCGGTGTTTAATGAAAACATCGGCACGGCAGGAGATACAAAGGCGGTCGGGAAGGCGAACGGCCCTCAACGCCTTACCCCTCACCGCGTTGTGCGTTTGCGGCCTTCATAGGCGCCGCCGCTGCTGCTACTCGCTACTAGCAGCACTTGCCCCTGCAGCCCTGCTAGAGGCTACCTGGGGGAGCTTTGTCTGTGTCTACTCGCTACGAACTAACACAGCACTTGCCCCTGCAGCCCTGCTAGAGGCTACCTGGGGGAGCTTTGTGTCTGCTCGCTACGAACTAACACAGCACTTGCCCCAGCAGCCCTGCTAGAGGCTACCTGGGGGAGCTTTGTCTGTGTGTAACAGCACTTGACCCTACCGCCCTGCTAGAGGCTACCTGGGGGAGCTTTGTCTGTGTAACAGCACTTGCCCCTACAGCCCTGCTAGAGGCTACCTGGGGGAGCTTTGTCTGTGTGTGTAACAGCACTTGCCCCTACAGCCCTGCTAGAGGCTACCTGGGGGAGCTTTGTCTGTGTGTAACAGCACTTGCCCCTACAACCCTGTTATTGGCTACCTGGGGGAGCTTTGTGTGTGTAACAGCACTTGCCCCTACAGCCCTGCTAGAGGCTACCTAGGGGATCTTTGTAGACTCACCACCACACAGAGACCCATATACACACTACACAAATACCCATAGACTCGCCACACATACCTTTCAACGCATCAGACAGACCCCATATACTCACCACACAGCCATACAGAGACCACAGACTCACCACTGCGACCCATATACTCACCACCACACGGAGACCCATATACTCACCACCACACGGAGACCCATATACTCACCACCACACAGAAGGCACAGACTCACCACACAGAGACCCACAGACTCACCACACAGAGATCCACGGACTCACCACACAGAGACCCACAGACTCACCACACAGAGACCCACGGACTCACCACACAGAGACCCATAGACTCACCACCACACAGAGACCCATAGACTCACCACCACACAGAGACCCATAGACTCACCACCACACAGGCCCACAGACTCATCACCACACAGAGACCCATAGAATCACCACCACACAGAGACTCATAGACTCATCACCACACAGAGACCCATAGACTTGCCACCACACAGACCCATAGACTCGCCACCACACAGAGACCCATAGACTCGCCACCACACAGAGACCCATAGACTCACCACCACACAGACACTCATAGACTCACCACCACACAGAGATCCAGAGACTCACCACCACACAGAGACCAATAGACTCGCCACCACACAGAGAACCACAGACTCACCACCACACAGAGACCCATAGACTCGCCACCACACAGAGACTCATAGACTCACCACCACACAGAGACCCATAGACTCATCACCACACAGAGAACCACAGACTCACCACACAGAGACCCTTAGACTTACCACCACACAGAGACTCATAGACTCACCACCACACAGAGACCCTTAGACTCACCACTACACAAAGACCCTTAGACTCACCACCACACAGAGACCCATAGACTCACCACCACACAGAGACCCATATACTCGCCACCACACAGAGACTCAGAGACTCATCACCACATAGAGACCCACAGACTCACCACCACACAGAGACCCAGAGACTCACCACCACACAGAGACCCATAGACTCGCCACCACACAGAGACCCATAGACTCACCACCACACAGAGACTCAGACTCGCCACTACACAGAGACCCATAGACTCACCACCACACAGAGACCCTTAGAATCACCACTACACAAAGACCCTTAGACTCACCACCACACAGAGACCCATAGACTCACCACCACACAGAGACTCAGAGACTCATCACCACATAGAGACCCACAGACTCACCACCACACATAGACCCATAGACTCACCACCACACAGAGACCCATAGACTCACCACCACACAGAGACCCAGAGACTCACCACCACACAGAGACCCATAGACTCACCACCACACAGAGACCCATAGACTCACCACCACACAGAGACCCAGAGACTCGCCACCACACAGAGACCCATAGACTCACCACCACACAGAGACCCATAGACTCACCACCACACAGAGACCCATAGACTCATCACCACACAGAGACCCACAGACTCACCACACAGAGACTCACCACTACACAAACCCATATACTCGCCACCACACAGAGACTCAGAGACTCATCACCACACAGAGACCCATAGACTCATCACACAGAGACCCATAGACTCACCACTACACAAACCCATAGACTCACCACCACACAGAGACCCATAGACTCACCACCACACAGAGACCCTTAGACTCACCACCACACAGAGACCCATATACTCGCCACCACAGAGACTCAGAGACTCATCACCACATAGAGACCCACAGACTCACCACACAGAGACCCTTAGACTCACCACTACACAAACCCATAGACTCACCACCACGCAAAGACCCATAGACTCATCACCACCACACAGAGACCCATAGACTCACCACCACACAGAGACCCATAGATTCACCACCACGCAGAGACCCATAGACTCACCACCACACAGAGACCCACAGACTTACCACCACACAGAGACCCTTAGACTTACCACCACACAGAGACTCATAGACTCACCACCACGCAAAGACCCATAGACTCATCACCACCACACAGAGACCCATAGACTCACCACCACACAGAGACCCATAGATTCACCACCACGCAGAGACCCATAGACTCACCACCACACAGAGACCCACAGACTTACCACCACACAGAGACCCTTAGACTTACCACCACACAGAGACCCACAGACTCACCACACAGAGATCCACGGACTCACCACACAGAGACCCACAGACTCACCACACAGAGACCCACGGACTCACCACACAGAGACCCATAGACTCACCACCACACAGAGACCCATAGACTCACCACCACACAGAGACCCATAGACTCACCACCACACAGGCCCACAGACTCATCACCACACAGAGACCCATAGAATCACCACCACACAGAGACTCATAGACTCATCACCACACAGAGACCCATAGACTTGCCACCACACAGACCCATAGACTCGCCACCACACAGAGACCCATAGACTCGCCACCACACAGAGACCCATAGACTCACCACCACACAGACACTCATAGACTCACCACCACACAGAGATCCAGAGACTCACCACCACACAGAGACCAATAGACTCGCCACCACACAGAGAACCACAGACTCACCACCACACAGAGACCCATAGACTCGCCACCACACAGAGACTCATAGACTCACCACCACACAGAGACCCATAGACTCATCACCACACAGAGAACCACAGACTCACCACACAGAGACCCTTAGACTTACCACCACACAGAGACTCATAGACTCACCACCACACAGAGACCCTTAGACTCACCACTACACAAAGACCCTTAGACTCACCACCACACAGAGACCCATAGACTCACCACCACACAGAGACCCATATACTCGCCACCACACAGAGACTCAGAGACTCATCACCACATAGAGACCCACAGACTCACCACCACACAGAGACCCAGAGACTCACCACCACACAGAGACCCATAGACTCGCCACCACACAGAGACCCATAGACTCACCACCACACAGAGACTCAGACTCGCCACTACACAGAGACCCATAGACTCACCACCACACAGAGACCCTTAGAATCACCACTACACAAAGACCCTTAGACTCACCACCACACAGAGACCCATAGACTCACCACCACACAGAGACTCAGAGACTCATCACCACATAGAGACCCACAGACTCACCACCACACATAGACCCATAGACTCACCACCACACAGAGACCCATAGACTCACCACCACACAGAGACCCAGAGACTCACCACCACACAGAGACCCATAGACTCACCACCACACAGAGACCCATAGACTCACCACCACACAGAGACCCAGAGACTCACCACCACACAGAGACCCATAGACTCACCACCACACAGAGACCCATAGACTCACCACCACACAGAGACCCATAGACTCATCACCACACAGAGACCCACAGACTCACCACACAGAGACTCACCACTACACAAACCCATATACTCGCCACCACACAGAGACTCAGAGACTCATCACCACACAGAGACCCATAGACTCATCACACAGAGACCCATAGACTCACCACTACACAAACCCATAGACTCACCACCACACAGAGACCCATAGACTCACCACCACACAGAGACCCTTAGACTCACCACCACACAGAGACCCATATACTCGCCACCACAGAGACTCAGAGACTCATCACCACATAGAGACCCACAGACTCACCACACAGAGACCCTTAGACTCACCACTACACAAACCCATAGACTCACCACCACGCAAAGACCCATAGACTCATCACCACCACACAGAGACCCATAGACTCACCACCACACAGAGACCCATAGATTCACCACCACGCAGAGACCCATAGACTCACCACCACACAGAGACCCACAGACTTACCACCACACAGAGACCCTTAGACTTACCACCACACAGAGACTCATAGACTCACCACCACACAGAGACCCTTAGACTCACCACTACACAAAGACCCTTAGACTCACCACCACACAGAGACCCATAGACTCACCACCACACAGAGACCCATATACTCGCCACCACACAGAGACTCAGAGACTCATCACCACATAGAGACCCACAGACTCACCACCACACAGAGACCCAGAGACTCACCACCACACAGAGACCCATAGACTCGCCACCACACAGAGACCCATAGACTCACCACCACACAGAGACTCAGACTCGCCACTACACAGAGACCCATAGACTCACCACCACACAGAGACCCTTAGAATCACCACTACACAAAGACCCTTAGACTCACCACCACACAGAGACCCATAGACTCACCACCACACAGAGACTCAGAGACTCATCACCACATAGAGACCCACAGACTCACCACCACACATAGACCCATAGACTCACCACCACACAGAGACCCATAGACTCACCACCACACAGAGACCCAGAGACTCACCACCACACAGAGACCCATAGACTCACCACCACACAGAGACCCATAGACTCACCACCACACAGAGACCCAGAGACTCGCCACCACACAGAGACCCATAGACTCACCACCACACAGAGACCCATAGACTCACCACCACACAGAGACCCATAGACTCATCACCACACAGAGACCCACAGACTCACCACACAGAGACTCACCACTACACAAACCCATATACTCGCCACCACACAGAGACTCAGAGACTCATCACCACACAGAGACCCATAGACTCATCACACAGAGACCCATAGACTCACCACTACACAAACCCATAGACTCACCACCACACAGAGACCCATAGACTCACCACCACACAGAGACCCTTAGACTCACCACCACACAGAGACCCATATACTCGCCACCACAGAGACTCAGAGACTCATCACCACATAGAGACCCACAGACTCACCACACAGAGACCCTTAGACTCACCACTACACAAACCCATAGACTCACCACCACGCAAAGACCCATAGACTCATCACCACCACACAGAGACCCATAGACTCACCACCACACAGAGACCCATAGATTCACCACCACGCAGAGACCCATAGACTCACCACCACACAGAGACCCACAGACTTACCACCACACAGAGACCCACAGACTCACCACCACGCAGAGACCCATAGACTCACCACCACACAGAGACCCACAGACTCACCACCACACAGAGACTCATAGACTCATCACCACATAGAGACCCATAGACTCACCACACAGAGACCCATAGACTCACCACTACACAAACCCATATACTCACCGTACAGATAGCCAGAGACTCGCCACACAGAGACACTGACATCCTGGGTTCAGGGTTCAAGCCACGGGTATGGGTGTGTGTCTCTCTGTGGGTTCATGATATCCGTGTCGGAGACCCTTGGGATGTTGAATGGAGGGAGGGGAGGAATGGGAGGGTAGGGAGGAAGGCGAGAGGGAGGGAAGGGGAGCAGAGAGGGAGCAGGGAGGGAGGAAGGAGGCAGCAGAGAGGGAGGGAAGGGGAGAGGGAGGGGAGCAGAGAGGGAGGGAAGGGGAGAGAGAGGCAGCAGAGAGGGAGGCAGCAGAGAGGGAGAGGGAGGGAAGGGGAGAGAGAGGCAGCAGAGAAGAGGGGAGCGGAGAGGGAAGGGGAGAGGGAGGGAGCAGAGGGGGAGGGAGGAGGGAGGGGAGCAGAGAGAGAGGGAGCAGAGGGGGAGGCAGCAGAGAGGGAGGGAGGGAGGGAGTGGAGAGGGAGGGTGGAGGGAGGGAGGAGGGATGGAGGGGAGCGGAGGAGTGAGTAGAGAGTGATGGAGGGGTAGGGTGGTGAGCTCAGGGGGGGTCCAAGCCCCCGGTTGTCTCTGCGAGCTCACAAATGGCCGTGCCTCTCTGTGTGCGCGTCGTCCGCAGGATTGGCGGCGGAGGGGCCGGAGGGGCGAGGCGGCGGCGGCGGCGACGACGACGACCTCGGGACGGGCGATGGACTCCACCGCCTCCACCGCCTCCACCGCCTCCACCGCCTCCACCGCCTCCACCGCCTCCACCGCCTCCACCGATGTGGCGGCGACCGCCGCGGTGACCCGGCGCCGCCGTCCCCCGCGGTCGCGGCCGGGCACCGGCGTCACCGCCGCCGCCGGCGTGCTTGCCGACGCCACCGCCGCCTTGGCCAACCGCTCACCGCCGGCGCCCGCTCCCGGCGGCCTGGCCTCGCCCGTGTCCACGCTGGCGTACCACCTGGGCAGCTGGCCGGGCATCGGGTCAGTCGGTCGGAGTCTGGCCCGCCCCCTTCCCCCTCCCGCTCCTCCCTGTCCCCTCCTCCTCTCTCGCCTCCATCTCTCTCACCTCCATCTCCCCTCCATCTCTCTCACCTCCATCTCTCTCCCCTCCATCTCTCTCACCTCCATCTCACCTCCATCTCTCTCACCTCCATCTCCCCTCCATCTCTCTCACCTCCATCTCTCTCACCTCCATCTCTCTCACCTCCATCTCGCCTCACCTCCATCTCGCCTCCATCTCACCTCCGTCTCTCTCACCTCTCTCTCACCTCCATCTCACCTCCGTCTCTCTCACCTCCATCTCTCTCACCTCCATCTCGCCTCCATCTCGCCTCCATCTCCCTCACCTCCATCTCACCTCCATCTCTCTCACCTCCATCTCACCTCCATCTCCCTCACCTCCATCTCACCTCCATCTCACCTCCATCTCACCTCCATCTCGCCTCCATCTCTCTCACCTCCATCTCACCTCCATCTCGCCTCCATCTCGCCTCCATCTCACCTCCATCTCGCCTCCATCTCTCTCACCTCCATCTCTCTCACCTCCATCTCTCTCACCTCCATCTCGCCTCCATCTCGCCTCCATCTCCCTCACCTCCATCTCACCTCCATCTCTCTCACCTCCATCTCACCTCCATCTCCCTCACCTCCATCTCACCTCCATCTCACCTCCATCTCACCTCCATCTCGCCTCCATCTCTCTCACCTCCATCTCACCTCCATCTCGCCTCCATCTCGCCTCCATCTCACCTCCATCTCGCCTCCATCTCTCTCACCTCCATCTCTCTCACCTCCATCTCTCTCACCTCCATCTCGCCTCCATCTCGCCTCCATCTCCCTCACCTCCATCTCACCTCCATCTCTCTCACCTCCATCTCACCTCCATCTCCCTCACCTCCATCTCACCTCCATCTCACCTCCATCTCACCTCCATCTCGCCTCCATCTCTCTCACCTCCATCTCACCTCCATCTCGCCTCCATCTCGCCTCCATCTCACCTCCATCTCGCCTCCATCTCTCTCACCTCCATCTCTCTCACCTCCATCTCTCTCACCTCCATCTCGTCTCCATCTCCCCTCCCTCTCCCCTCCCTCTCACCTCCATCTCACCTCCATCTCACCTCCCCTCCATCTCCCCTCCCTCTCCCCTCCCTCTCACCTCCATCTCCCCTCCATCTCCCCTCCCTCTCCCCTCCCTCTCACCTCCATCTCCCCTCCATCTCCCCTCCCTCTCCCCTCCCTCTCACCTCCATCTCCCCTCCATCTCCTCTCCCCTCCATCTCCCCTCCCCCTCCCCTCCATCTCACCTCCATCTCCCCTCCATCTCACCTCCATCTCACCTCCC